GTTTTCTTTTGAAATGTATTGTTTTCAAAGATACTTTTTAACTTTTTATTGATAAACTGTTTTTGAGAATACATATTTTATTTTATCTTTTCTTAATATGTTTATTTTATATATTTACTAAATAATTAAATAGAAATAGAAATAAAGATAGACTTGTTATTTATCTCTTTTAAAATTCAATTTATTCACTTATTTTAGAAGTCATTTAGAGACTAAAAAGTAAAAAATGAACATTTAAAAGGTTTGACCTACTAATAAAGATACGAATAACTATTACTTCTTCTGTTTTATTTTAGTTGTTGTTTTAGATTTTTGCACCTAGATTAAGAAAATATTTAGTTTTATATATTTTCAAAATAAAAACACAATTACCTATACATCTAACCACATTTCAACAAATAAAATAATAAAATAATATATAAATCAATAAATTTTGTATCAAAATTATAAAACGAAACTTATTTTAAAACAATTTTTTTTCTCTATAAAGACATATAAACTGAAATGGAGTGAGTAATTATTAGGACATGGTTGTAATGATAGTAGTGATGGCAGCCGTCGGCGGTGGTTTCCACATACACATGCATGGAGTTGTTTGACAATTATTATATATACAAAAATATTATGTCGGTTTCGCAATAATGTAAAAGATTTTTTGGTAAATAATATTAGTTTATTCAATGGCTTTTAGTATATACTAAAATTTGATCCATATATTTGGGTACATATATTTTTTTTCTACAAATTAATTTTAAGAATAACTGCACTTTTTTATTTCTAGATGTTTTTTTATGATCCAAATTTAAGAATAGAACTACACTTTTTTTATTTCTAGATAATTTTTTTGATGATTTTAGTATTCAAACGTCTTTAAAGAGATCCGTTAGGGCCTACTAACCATCCACCATCAGTATTGTTTTCCTAGATGGTATTGTTTTCTTATAACGTTGGATTTTTAAGAATTTTAGTATAACTCATTTGTTATTTGATAAATTTTATGGTTGTTAATTGTTTTCTAAATAATTTAATTATAACATTTTATTTGAAATATTCCTTTATATTAAAAGCATATTTTAAAAATCAATGTAAAATTTAAATCAGTTTAAATTCTTATTAACCTAATTAAAAATATTTTATATAATTTTGATTGCGTTTTGAAATCAAAATTAAATTATAATTAAATTAATTTAGTTATATTTTATGATAACCAGAATTTAATTATTTATTTTTCTAAGAAAATAATTTTTAGAAAGATCCTAAAAATATTTTACACAATATTTTGTAATAATGTTAAAAGAATCTTCATTTATATTTTAAATAAATAGATAAAATATTAAAAGATATTCTAATTTAATAATTCTTTTCTAAAGAATTTGGTCTCAATGAAAAACACACATGAACGAAAAATTCAGGGGCGAACAATCTAGCATACAGTGCCAAAACACAACTGTCATTTGTCGTTCACATGGATGCAGAGCTATTAGTTTGGTTTGCAGAGTTAGTATGAGTTTGTTTATGTTGATGTCAGAAAAAAAAAAAAAAAAACACCTAGCAAAAGAGTCATGACTTATGCTTTATTATATAAGACTAGATTTTGATCTGTAAACTAATACCTTAACAAAAATACTCTATAAATTAATAATGCCAGGACTATGATATTTTCTTAGTTTATAGAGTTATCAATTTAGAAAAAAAAATATTTATATAGATTTTTCTATTTTTTTATATATATATTTTTTTCAAAAAAAGAAAATGTTTAATTTTAATGTATTTATATTAATTTCATTTTTGGAAATTTGACATTTATATTGATTTATTATATTGTTTAGTGTATATAAAGTGGTTTAAAATAAACTTTTATCAATATATATTAAGTAAAATTAAAAATTTCTATTAAATGTTCATACTTATATAAATTATTTATATATATAACTTATTGATTTATACTTTTAATGAAACTATATATTTAACTAGGATTTTAATAAAATTATTATCTTACTATTTAATCGATTTGTGTCATATTTTAAACTGGTGCAAGTTGAGACGAGAAAAAATTATTAATTTATAATATTTATTAATTTACAAAATTTTTACTTGTAATAGAAGTTTTTTTGTCACAAAAAAAAAGAAAAAGAAAAAGAAAAAGAAACCTTTGATAACTTTTCGGAAATTTTCGCTAAACTAATTAAAATATCATAATTTTATTGATTTGCTTTTTTTTTTTTTTTTTTTTTTTTGCAATACTAAACTATTTGTTTTTAATTCATGTGACAGAAATAAGTAATTGATTATTAACCGGAAATCAGATGAAGAGCTGGACATGGGGGCATAGAATTTGTGTTCTCATATCGAAAATCTGAAGTAAACTAAGCATACAACTGTTGGAGGATAAATACTTGTCAATTAATTAAGATCGGTCATGATCGATGTTTCTACAGAATCCAATACAATTTCCAAGCAACAATCTACCGCAAATGAGGGAAAGAAACAAACGATGCCAAGGAGAACAAGCAATTAGGAAGCCTCAACTTAATGTGTCGACTCGACCTAACTTCGATAGAATCAATCAAGGGTTTTGAGCAAAATCAATAAACTTCCACCAGAGAGAGTCTACTACGTTATTAAAAGCGCGAGCGTGGTCGAACATTGTGATCATCACCTCCTAGTAAGTACATCATAGCCAGACTCAACTCAGATCAGATGGTGCCTCCTCCAAGAGGTACTTAAATTGTAATGTAGATGGTAGATACTTCCCGGACAGAGATGGAATTAGGATGTGTAGTCCACTTAGTCCAAGACGATAAATGCATGGTTTCACTTCCATGGTAGCAAAGCTTACCCTATATTTCAGTATCTTGCCTTGATGCATAAGCAGCTTCTCTTCTTTATGATAATCTTTGGTTTAGCTAAAGTGACGCTTGGATTCTCATTGAGCATTTGAGAGATCAACAAGCTTGGACCAAATAAGCTAAAGTGCTACACAACTGAATCATTGGAGAAAGGAGGTTTTCAAGACACCTAAATTCAATTTCAAAAGGAGACAAAGCAACGGTGTGCTGACTAGTCATGGGCATTTTATCCGAAATCCGAAAACCGAACCGAAACCGAACAGAAAAAACCGACACCGAAACCGGACCGAAAGTTACAAAAACCCGAACGGTTCCTATTTATCTAGATCCGAAAAACCGAAACTGAACCGGGACCGAACCGAGAACCGAACGGGTACCCGAATATTGTAAATATAATAAAAATATATTAATTATTTTTAGTTTTAATATATATAAAATGTAATTTTTAAATAAAAATATCAAAAAATCCGAATAACCCGAATATTTTCAGGATTTAACTCGGTTTTTCGGTTCTTTTTTTTGTTTTTTGGCTTTAAACCCGAACCAAACCCAAATTATTTCTAATTCGGTTCCACTTTGGGTTTTATAAAAAAATAGAAACCCGACCCGAACCCGACATTATCCGAACCGATCCGATCCGAAAAATTCCCGGTTAATAAACGGTTCCTAAACACCCAACCCGAATTACCCGAAACTCGAATAATCCGAACCGACCCAAACCGAAAACCCGAATGCCCAGCACTAGTGCTAACTTATAGACCATTTTATAGAGAGTAAAACCACCTCCAATGGTGAACCTTGGAGGGGTTCATAAGTTTAAAAAAAAAAATTAATAAACAATACTGTCACATCAATGAATAGTTAAGAGTTTGGTTACAAAACCGAGGCAACTCTTACACTGTTCACGGACCCAACTGCCAGGTGTCGGCCTGCGAGTGATTCTTTTTTTTTTTAGTTCTGAAAAAAATAATAATAAAAAATTGAAAAAAAAACCTAAGAACTTTTGCTAGAGTTTCAGGGATGGAGATGCTCTAACAAAACCTATCCATGTTTTAAAGTTTCGGCCCAACAATAAAGCCCATCCAAAGTTCCCTTTCAAAACTCAAAAAGTAACCATAACAAAAAAAAACCCTTACTTCCTTGGAATCTCCAGCACTACAACGGGACATCATCTCCAATGCCCATCCTCCTCATCACTCAATCTCCTATAGCCACTAAAATTTCCTATACCCATATTTCATAATTCTTTTTGTGATCAAAACCTAAACTCCTAAATTAAATCTTTCCCGGTGTTCAAAACTAAACAAACCCCCCCCCCAATGGATGGGTGAACCCATGGGCAAATATTTAAATTCTATAGCTTTCAAATTCGAAAAAAATATATTTTAAAATCCTTTTTAATCATATTTTAATGATTTTCGTGAAAATATGAAAAAAACGTTTTTTGATTTTTGAAATAATTTTATCAAATTCTATAAATCAAATAAAAAACATTCACGTTTCAAGTTTAATTTTATGTTTTTTCGTTCAACATATAAAACAAAAAGAAGAAAAGTGTCTAAGAGACATTAGAGATATAGGTGGGTGGGTAGAGTCAACTTCTCCTGTACCCCTATTCTTTTAGAGGTAATCTCTTATGGGCTCGCATGATCTCTTATACCTCTATTTCATAATTCTTTTTTTGATCAAAACCTAAATCCCCAAATTAAATCCTCCCCGGTGTTCAAAACTAAACAAACCCCCCCCCCCCCCAATGGATGGGTGAACCCATGGGTAAAGATTTAAATTCTATAGCATTCAAATTCGAAAAAAATATATTTTAAAATCGGTTTTTAATCATATTTTGATGATTTTCGAGAAAATATGAAAAAACGTTTTTGATTTTTGAAATAATTTTATCAAATTCTATAAATCAAATAAAAAATATTCACGTTTCAAGTTTAATTTTATGTTTTTTCGTTTGACATAAAATTAAAAGAAAAAAAGTGTCTAAAAGAGATTAAAGATTGAGATTTAGGTGTATGAGAGGAATTGCCTCGGGTGGGTGGGTATAGGGGATGATCCCCCCACTACAACTCCCGGCGACATATTATTACTTCTTTAAAGTACCGGAAACGGTGAACCAACTTCGTAGTCTTGGATTAAATAAAGATGTCGGAAAAGACAGAAGTGGAAGCGAAGAGAGTGTTCATAGGAGCAGGATGCAACAGAGTGGTCAACAACGTCTCTTGGGGAGCTTCTGGTCTTGTTTCCTTCGGTGCCCAAAACGCCGTTGCTGTTTTCTGCCCCAAGGTCTCTCTTTTATTTTCCTCATCTTTCTAAAAGCTTAAAAAGTTGACTCTTTTTGTTTTGTTTCAGACTGCCCAGATTCTTACAACCCTCCCAGGTCATAAGGCTTCTGTGAATTGCACTTATTGGTTACCCAGTAGCAAGTTTTCTTTCAAAGGTTCCTTCTTTTCTCTGTTTCTTGCTTACTTGTTGTAGTTTTGATCATTGGGTTTAGAGTTTTTACTATGTTGATACCTATGGTGCTGGAGGATTTATCTATTAAACCAGAGAGCTTAGACTTTAGAAGTTTTGAGTTAAATAGCTATCATTAGTAAACAATTTCTTTAGTAAACTGTAAAGAAGTCATAGGCATTCAGATTCTATTTATAGTCTCTGTTTACCGGTTTGGTGGTTTAGTTTTTATGGAAGGTTGAACTTTTCTAAAGCATTTTAACTATAGAATGTAGGAGAAAAACATCCAATGAACTATATGATTTGGTTGCAGCCAAGCATTTGGACCGGCATTATCTGCTCTCAGGTGATACTGATGGTGTCATCATCCTTTGGGAACTTTCTACTGTCAATAACAATGTAAGAAAACCCTTCACTGAGTTTTTCTACGGTTTCTCTATTATATCTGATCCTTTATTATTTGTCATGTTTGGTTTAAACAACAGTGGAGACATGTACTACAACTACCAAAGTCTTATAAGAAAGGTGTAACTTGCATCACTGCGTTTATGGTTTCTGAAACCGATGCTATGTTTGCTTCTGCTTCTTCAGATGGAGTTGTGAATGTCTGGGATGTTGCCTTTCCATCTCAGTCCAGTGGTAAGCATTTAGTTCTTACCTCAAACTCCCCACAACCTGAAGTTGATTGATTAAACTTTTCATTCTCTTGTTCCTTTGCTACAGACGAGTGTAAGGTTTTGTGTCTGGACACTCTTTCTGTTGACTCCAAAGCAATAGTGGCACTTTCATTAGCTGAGTTGCCTCAAAGTCCTGGACGATTTGTCCTCGCCATGGGTGGATTGGACAACAAAATAAAACTTTACTGTGGAGAAAGAACAGGAAAGGTACATTCCTATTTGCGCCAATACATTCTCAGCTTTTACATTTTCTTAACTTCTTATTTTGGTTCATCCTTTGCAGTTTACTTCTGTTTGTGAGCTTAAAGGCCACACGGACTGGATCCGGAGTTTGGACTTCTCATTATCAGAAGAAACCACCAGTAGTATCATGCTTGTGAGTTCTTCACAGGACAAAGTTATTCGGATTTGGAAACTTGTGTTACGCGGTGATGTGGGCTCATGGCAAAAAGAGATCACTCTAGCTTCTTACATTGAAGGTCCAGTTTTCATCTCAGGGACGTTTACATATCAGATCTCAGTCGAATCTGTTCTCATTGGACATGAAGATTGGGTCTACTCTGTGGAGTGGCAGCCACCAGTCACTGACCAACAACAACCGCTGAGCATTTTATCAGCTTCAATGGACAAAACGATGATGATTTGGCGACCTGAGAAGAAAACAGGTGTTTGGGTGAACGTTGTGTGTAGGAGAGCTTAGTCACTGTGCTCTTGGTTTCTACGGAGGCCACTGGAGTCCAGATGGCGCGTCGATTCTTGCTCATGGATGCGGCGGATCTTTTCATCTATGGAGAAATGTTAGTGGTAGCAAAGAATCTGAGAACTGGCAGATGCAGAAAGCCCCCTCAGGTCATTTTGCTGCTGTTACTGATATCACTTGGGCTAGAACAGGAGAGTACTTGCTATCGTGAGCCATGATCAGGTCAGAGTTTAAGGTTTTAGAGATGAGAACTTGAGAAAGAGTTATAACGTTTTTTTTTAATTTTTCAGACGACTCGCGTGTTCTCATCATGGAAGAGTGATGAGGGGAGTGAGCATTGGCATGAACTGGCTCGTCCTCAGGTTCATGGTCACGATATTAACAGGCTATGGTCCAAGGCAAAGGCAACCACCGTTTTGTAAGTGGAGCAGAGGAGAAAGTGGTGAGAGTTTTCGAGGCTCCTCTATCTTTCTTGAAGACACTGAGGCACACTTGTGCCGGAGGAGAAGGAAGCTTCCCTGAGGAGTTACAAGCAGATGTGCAGGTCCTTGGCGCGAATATGTCTGCCCTTGGTTTATCACAGAAACCTATCTACTTACACTGTGAGTGATTGGTTCAACACTGTTTCTAGCTATTTTACCAAATGCATTCTTGAGATTCATTCTTTATTGCAGCTTCTAGTGAACCGCTGGAGAGAAATGGAGGAGGAGAAGGTTTGGATACATTTGAAACGGTGCCAGAGGCTGCTCCAGCAGAGTTGAAGGAGCCTCCAATAGAAGATCAACTTGCGTTTCATACTTTATGGCCTGAATCTCATAAACTCTATGGTCATGGTAATGAGCTCTTTTCTCTCTGCTGTGACCACAATGGAAGCCTTATTGCTTCATCGTGTAAGGTAAAGCTAATGCAGATTTCAGATTTGTTTGCACTTGTTCTGTCTCCTCTATTCATATTTGAACCACAAACTTGTTCAGGCCCAGTCTGCAGCCATGGCGGAGATATGGCTATGGGAAGTTGGGACATGGAAAGCTGTTTGTCGTTTGCAATCTCACAGCTTGACAGTTACACACTTGGAGTTCTCTTATGACGACACTCTGCTCTTGTCTGTCTGCAGAGATCGTCACTTCTCAGTTTTCTCAATTCAAAGAACAGGTAAAACCTTGAACTTGAGTCTCTATAGTCGACATTTAACTCTGTCTCTTTTTGTTCTTCCTTGATCATTTACTATTCAGACAGCGGCGAGGTTAGTCACAAACTGATGGCAAAAGTTGAAGCACACAAGAGGATCATCTGGGCATGTTCATGGAACCCATTTGGCCACCAGTTTGCAACTTCATCAAGAGACAAGACTGTGAAGATCTGGTCAATCGAGAAAGATGCTCGCATCAAACAGGTTCTTGCTTTGCCTCAGTTTGGGAGCAGTGTCACTGCCGTGGCGTGGACGGGACTAGACCACGAGGAGAAGAGTGGTTGCATAGCGGTTGGGATGGAGAGTGGACTGATAGAGCTGTGGAACATAAAGATTAAAGAAACAGAGGAAGAAGGTACAACAGCAACTGCAGCACTTGCTCTGAGGATGGAACCGTTCATGTGTCATGTCTCAGCTGTGAACCGGTTGGCTTGGAGACCAACTGAAAAGTCGGAGAGTAACCAGAGCCTGCTAAGGTTAACTTCTTGTGGGGATGATAACTGTGTCAGAGTTTTTGACTTCAAGTTTTGAGTTAGAACACCAAAGCACCTGGTAGTGTGTTAATATCATGATTCATGACCATAACTCACTTTCTTTCCCTAGTCACTGTACTATATATTAAGTTGTCTGTATAAGAAAAAATAATAGAGGACTTCACCTTTCTTAAGCTGTTTCAAGCTCTGGTCATTTTTGTCTGTTGAAAATGTAATCAGGGAGAGACAACAAAGGAACAGATTAGCCTAGTGCTTTATTGATGGCTTGCGGCCTACGTTATGTAGGGGATGGATGGTTCAATCTTTGAACTTCAAAGTGGCGGCCTGTCAACCGCAATCCCGACGAAAGTAGCCACATGATGATGAATGAATATAATATTGAGTTGTATAAATATTGGTGAGAGAACATTTAACATCACCTCGTAGTGTTTTAAGATCGCAAATACCTATGATGAAACATTCTATCCCATCACTTTTTCTTCATTGCATCCCTTTCTTATTAATAGATTTAACAATTTGAAAAATATTTAGCGTATGAGTCATCACCACAAATTGTCTCGGCTATTTAAAAAAAAAAAAACAATACTTACTACAAGAACTATAATAATGCAATTCTCTCAAATAAACGTTTTTAGGTTTTTTATCAAAAAATAGGTTCAAAAATTAAAATGACCAAAATATCATTTTTTATTTTGAAAATTTTAAGTTTTTTTTTAAATTTAAACCTTATCTCCAAAACTTCACTCTTCAAATCTAAACAAAAAAATTATGATTAGTTAACCAAAAGGTATAAGTGTATATTCACTTATTTTTGATAAAATATTTAAATTTATTTTGATCATTTTTATTTTTAAAGTCTATATTTGAGATAAAATTTTTTTCAAGTTTATCCTTAAAAAATTATCATTACAATATGTGTCATTAATAAACATATAATATATTTAGATTAATGAAATAACAACACATGACATTTTCGTTTTTTAAAAGGAGACATTCCTAACTACCTATAAACTAATTCTCTTGTGTTCCTATTCTTCATCGTTTCTGGCAAATTCACTCAATGTCCATGCATAACTCTTATAAAATGCACATAAAATATAATGAGAGAGAGTATATATGGATATTGGGTCTTTGTTTCAGAGACAGATTGGTTATTTTCAAATTTGAATCTTTCGGATGTTAGAAATTTGACTTAATTAGACATTGGAAAATTTCCTGCTCGAGTTGGTTCTTTTAGGGTCTGGCTGGGCTCAGATCCATAATTCAAATAATTGTAAAATACATCTAATTAATTTTTGGATACATGTAATTTATATGGGTTCGGATTGGTTCAGATATTTAGGATCTGAACCAAAAAATTGAAGAATCGGAAAAAAATTCAAAAAGTACCCAAACCATGAAAACATACATGAAACTTCAAAACTACTCAAAATATATTCAAATTCCAAAAGACCTACTATTTTATCAGAAATCTGACATGAAGAATTTACAAATACCCAAAATTTTATCTAAATATTCCAAATATATTTTAGAAAATGGAAATCTTATTCGAAATTCAAAACTGTAACCTAAAGCCTGAACTTAAAACTTAAAAAATATATTTATTACTGAAAACATATCTGAAATAACCAAATATACCTAATATAAATTAATTTTTTGGTATTTTGGATACCCGATCGGGTCTCATATAGAACTTAGACTCAAATAGAGATCCATGGGTCTAGTAAAATACTCAATAGATACGTTGCACCGATATTTTCGAGTGGGTTTCGATTCAATTTTTGAGTCCAAGTAAAATGTTGAGGTCTAAGAGAGAGTTACGGAAGAATGTACATACAAAATCTCAAATAAACTAATTCATAAATTATAACATTTAAAAAATCACTATTTTCTTTGATATAATATGAATTTGTAAACTAATACTATACAACAATCTCAAAATTTGTTTATAATTCAAAAAAGAACCCACAATTCCTAAGAGCCGGTTAAAATATAATATTTTTTTAGTGTGTGTTAACTAAATGCACCATAATTAAATATACATTTTAAATTATATAGTTATTTTGGAATGAAAATGTTTATATTATGATTGATTTATTCCCTTGCGAGAATGATTAAGATGTTTGCACCAAGACTTAAATGTTTAGAAACAAGTACTCCCTCCGTTTTTTTTATAAGATGTTTTAGAAGATTTATGTTGTTTCAAAATATAAGATGTTTTCAGATTTTAAGGTATATTTTGAAGTTTTAAGGTTAACTTTAACTTTATTAGAAACTGTTCAACCAATAAGAATTTTCAGTCTTTTTTATAATTGGTTGAATAATTTTGAAAGTACATCATTAAAAATACTTTTAAAAATAAGGTAAATATCTTAATCTCCGTGCATTCAATCAAAACACCTTATAAAAAACGGAGGGAATATAAGAGTAGCTCTCGATAACGTCACTCTTTCCTTTTTGTGCCATCACACAACTCCCGCTATTTTCAGCCGGTCGGTTCCGATGTCGTCTATCCTCTTCTTCTACTTTGTTTCTTTTGCTCGACATAAATCGTTTAATGATTTGATCAAATTGAAATTGGAAATTATTTATTTTTATCAACTCAATTATAAGATCATCTCCTATGTTACACTCCATTGCTTCAATTAAAGAGAATATCAAGTAAAAATACTCCAACTATACTCTATTTTTCACTTAATAGTAGAGTAACGAACAAATAAAAAATAGATTACTCTATTTATGGAATAATTAAACTCTATTATGGAGTGAGATATGAGATTGGGTTGGAGTATTTATTACATACTCTACTTTATTCTATTTTGGATTAAAAAATGCATTTGAGTTCGAGATGCCCTGATACACATTTCTTATATTTGGGAAAATTGCCAAATATGACTCAAAAATTGATTTGAAATGCAAAAGTAAATCTAAACTTGAATCAAAATGCAAAAGTAACTTAAAAGGCTATTGAAATTACAACCAACCCCTTGTGAACAAAAAAAAATGTATTTTCTTTTACGTTTCTAGCCCTCGCAAGTCGTCTTCCCAGACGACTTTCAACTAAGTCATCCCCAAACGACTTAACTGAAAGTCGTCTAGGACAGTTTTTCTTAAAAATAATTTAAAAATTGTGTAATAAATATTTTGATAAATAAAAATTGGAATTATGTAATTAACATATGTCTTAAGAGATATAAATTAAGATATAACAAAAGTCAGTTGTTTTCAGCATAGATGAGTGAAAGTAGTGAGTCATGATATTCTTTAGTTTAGGTTTCACCAACATATGTTGTAGTATTGTATGTGTTTCTTAGGGTTAGATTTTCGAAAGCATAAATGTTTTTTTGAAAAATTAAAAATTTACCAAAGTGTGTTTATTTCTGTGTATAGTAAACAATATTTAAGTATAATTTGATTTTATAACGTGGTTAGTTAGTTAATTTAGTCAATTTAGTTTAGGGTTTAGGGTCTGGGGTCTGGACGACTTATAATTAAGTCGTCTGGTAAATATATTTAATAAGACAGACGACTTAGTCGTCTTATAGTATCAACAGACGACTTAATTATAAGTCGTCCAAACCGGATTTTACCAAATTACTTTTAAACCTAACCGTATTTTTGACCGGACATATATACGATGTTTTTTTTACTCACTTTTTTCGCGAAATTCAGAAAACCCTAACGCCGTTTCTCTCAAGGGTGATTTCGAGGCGATTTTGATCCGATACAAGACCAAGGTAAATCGAAGGCTTCTCTTGCAGATTTATGGGTTTTTATTATGATGGATGTTGTTTTCCTTTACTTTTACCATTTGGTTTTGTGTTTTCAACGATTTCGGGAAATTTTTGTTTCCAATTAGGGTTTCAAAAATTGGGGATTTCAATCGATTTGTTGTTTAGTTAGGTTGGATGTTGTTTTCCTCTCATTTCACGGTTAAGATTTGTGATTTCAAGCAATTTGTGGATATTTTCATTTCAAATTAGGGTTTCAAAGATTGGGGATTTCATTCGATTTGTGGTCTAGTTAGGTTGGACCTTGTTCTCCTCTCATTCGTCTGGTCAGCTTTCAAATGTTCGACTGGAAGTCTTGGTAGACTTATAATTAAGTCGTCTAGAAAGTCTTCCAGGTGGACGACCCAGACGACTTAATATAAGTCTTCCCGACTTAGAATTAAAATGTTTCCATTTCCTTTCTTGTTTGCAGATGGCGAATCAGCATGAACCTCACTTCTTGAAGCCTCTGCTTCCTGGTTTCTGCAGTGGCGTGGTATACACACGCTCTCTATTTCTCCTCTGTTTATTTCCTTTGCTTAACTTCTCCTTTGTTGACTTGTAGACAATACCACTTGCCTTCTACTCAAAACACATAGAAGGCAAGCCGAACCAAGGAAAATGGACACTATGATCGGACACTTCACACCAAACTTGGGAAGTTATACAAAAAGGAAGAACACTCACCGATGGTTGGAAAGCCTTCGCCCAAGCACACTTCATGATTTTCATCTCCAACCAACTCATTATCACCTTCATCTTCAAAACATTCATCAGCTTCATCATCTTCAAACCATTCATCAGCTTCTTCCCTTTCCTATGAAACCGTTTCCACCTTGCTACGGCTTGATACACAAAGACATACTCTATGAGTTTTGAGTATATCGAGCAAGTTACGAACTTGTCTATCACTTGTAACATGAATGGGATGGGTGTCTGGAGCCATCATCATTTATGCTGGTAATGAGTATCTAATCTCCACAGTGATTGTGTTCATGTCCAGGTTATAATCTTCTTGTTCCATTGCAAAAAGTTCAGCATGTGTTGAATCTTCATTCAATAAAAACAATCTTGCTCCTTTGAGATCATCAACCACAAAGTCGCAACGGCAATCTTTCAACAACCATTCTCCATACACTGCATGTAACTGACGAATCATCTGCAAAAATTTAAAATAAAACACATTAGTAAACATAGAGAATTTCATGAAAGTTAAATAAACATTGACGCAGACGACATACCAGTAAGTCGTCTGGACGACTTACTCGTAAGTCGTCCAATGAGGTCATTTTTGCAGTTGAATTTCTAAGTCGTCCAGCTTTGTTTGTTAAAAAAAAAACACTAGACGACTTATAATTAAGTCGACTTAATTGAAAGTCGGATTAGACGACTTATGTTAAAGCGTCCAGGATAAGCAAGGTTTGACCAGAAAACTCGGAAATAATTATGGACGACTTTGTTTATCCTGGAGGACTTTGACATAAGTCATCTAATCGGACGACTTTCAGTTAAGTCGTCTGGGAGAAGTTAAAAATTTAAGTTTTATTTTTGAATTGCAAAACTAACC